CACTCCTTCTAATAGTGATCTAGGACCATACATCTTATTGAAGGCTGCACAAGCTGGCTCTTCTATAGTGAGGAATCGAACTGCAAACCCATGAGTCCACAGCCAGGTGGTCCAACCCATTGAGCTATCCAGCCATTCATCTGTGTTATTAATACCTTGTATTTGTGTTTCTGTTTTGGTTTGATCAGTCTTTTAATTAATTAATTAATTAAATTTTATTTATATACCTTACACAAAGTTAAAATAGAACTACAGCAAAACAAAACACTAAAATGTCAGTCTAAAAACTAGCAAACCAATGGCACAGTCAGTTCTCAGCCTGAAGTGGAAACCAGACATAGGATGTTCAGCTGGGGTCGGCTCTCCTGAAGAGTAGATTTTTTAGCTGCTTCCTAAATGAGTAGAGGGAGGGGGGCTGGGGCAGCTCCTCTGGGAGTTGGTTCTATAACCTTGGTGCCACCACGGAGAAGTCCCTACCCCTAGTAGAAGATTTGTGGGACCCTCTCGGGGTGGCTACACAGAGGAGCCTGGTTTAAATGAATCTGGTGGGTCGGGCAGATGACATAGGGAAAAGATGCTCCAACAGGTAATGTGGTCCTAAACCATCAAGGTCTTTATATGTGAATGTTAAAACTTTGAACCTGATCCAGGACACAATAGGTAACCAGTGAAGGTCAGAACTGGGGTGATGTGGTCAAAATTGCCCGCACCAGTCACCAGCCTTGCTGTCACATTCTGGACCCTCTGTAGTCTTCGGATCAGGCCTGATGACAGCCCCACATAGAGACAATTTTACTACTTTATCATGATCATAACTTCGGGTAGTGTGGGCGGCTTAACGAGCGCACCGTATAACGATTAAATCGCATAGCGATCCGTTTTTTCGGATCGCTAATGCGATCGCACAACGTTTTTCCTATAGGGAAAAATTCGCTTTGCGAAGACCGGTAAGCATTTCGCTTACCGATCTTCGCAAAACGACCCCCGCCGATCAGCTGTTCGGCGGCCAAAATGGCCGCCGGAAGCCGGAAAATGGCCGCGCGCAGCGTTTTCGCGCCCTCGTTAAGCGAGGCGAGGGCGCGAAAATGGCTGCCGGCCATTAAGAAGCTTCGCTGAACGGTGAGTATTTGGCCTATTTGGAAAACGCTGCCCCGTTCAGCGATGCTTCAGCATAGCGAAGGTTAATCCGGAATGGATTAACCTCGCTATGCGAGGCACCACTGTATAGTTGTTCATTGCTATAACTTTTTTGTTTCAATGCCTTATTTTATTTTTCATCTCAATATCTCAGCAATTTTTGTGGATGGAATGATAGCACCTGGCTAGTAATAAATTGCTCTTTCACGTTTTAAATTTTCCAGTTTATGCTATACAGAACAACACTGCCTTATTATGCCATTCTTTTCCTTCCTTTAGAGCAGTGGTTCTTAACCTTTTTGAAAGAAACGCCCCCTTGAGGAAGTTATCATCGCCTGCAGCAGCGGCGGCACCGGATCTGCTGGCAGCAGCAGCTGCTCTGGATCCACATGCCGGATCTGTTGCCAGCACCGTGGCTGCAGCCGCCTTCTCAAGTTTGGCACCAGTAGCGGCACCTGATCCACTGCCAGCACCAGCTGCTCTGGATCCACATGCCGGATCTGTTGCCAGCACCATGGCTGCAGCCGCCTTCTCAGGTTTGGCAGCAGTGGCAGCACCGGATCCACTGCCAGCACCAGCTGCTCTGGATCCACGTGCCGGATCCGCTGCCAGCACTGCGGCTACAGCCGCCTTCTCAGGTTTGGCAGCAGTGGCAGCACTGGAACCACTGCCAGCACCAGCTGCTCTGGATCCACGTGCCGGATCCGCTGCCAGCACCGCCGCTGCAGCTGCCTTCTCAGGTTTGGCTCGCTCCATCGCCTCCCCTTCTGTTCCTTCGCCCCTGCGTCACCCCTTTTTGTTCCATCGCCCCCCTAAAAAATGAAATCACGCCCTGGGGGGCGATATTGCCCAGGTTAAGAACCACTGCTTTAGAGTGCGTAGCCAGAGATGACAGTGCATGGTTGGTTTTCACTATTTTTATTACATTTGCTCTGTGTTCTTTAACTTAGTTCAGGGATCCTGGTGTTGACACAAACACCATAAATGACATTGATCTCCAAATGTCTTTTGCCTTTGCATTTTCCCATTAGACATCTAATTGGCTGTAAAGTTTTGTCTCAGAGTTTTTGACTACACAACTTACAAGCCCTGGCAGTATTCTTTGTGCTCAAGGATTCTGGGACTTGTAACCTAAATCATATTGAAGATGCATAACTGGATAGACCTGGATTTTCATGTCATCCTGTATGTTTGCAGACATACACCCACTCACACAGAGACCACTTTTTGTCAATAATTACATTTTCATCCTCATCTTGAGCCAGCGCTTAATTCTGAACTGGATGTTCTGTGAGCTTAGTTTGCTTTCCCACAAGGATAATTTTAAATTTTAAAAAAACTTCCACTTTTTAATATTAAGTGCTAGCAGTTAGTACAAGTGAAGCCTACCTTTTTTTCCTACAGATCTGTTTGTACACATTTCCCATTGCATAACAAATCAAACTGCATTATCCCTATAACACTTTTATTACCTATACATTGATGATACTCAGGTATGTCTCTCTAGCTGTACATGGAGCATTAGCTGAAACTGACAGTTTCTTTCCAGTGGATTGGTTTTACATATAGCATTCGTTATATACACAAGAGAAAGTTGTCCTTAACCTGTTCAACAAGAATGGGTGTCCCAAATACCACTTGTGGAACATTAATCGAAGCTAAAATCAGGCTTGTTTACTGGAATAATATGGAGGGAACAGCAATATGGCAAATCCTTAAGGACCTTAGGTCTGGGCACTGTGTTTCATGTGTATTATTTCAGAACTCACAGTTCTAGCCTATTGCTAGGCATCTCCTTGGTTACCTTCAAATGCTGAAATATTTTAAGAATCTGGCTTCTAGCAAGAACTTCATTGCTTTTCTCTCCCAACACAAAATGTTAATAAAAATAAAAAAAGCTAAGTGGCTATGTGACCCATTAAAAAGTTTCTTCTGAATATGTGTATACCTTATCCTTTTGTAGCTCAAATTATTTAAATTTGGTTTGCAGTCTGGGGGTCCATCTTGAGCCAGCGCTTATTATGTGGAGACCCAGATAGCTTCAGTGGTCCGTACTGCCTGTTTCCATCTTCAATGTATTGCCACCTGCATTCCTATCTTGATGTGGGGGCCCTCGCCACTCTGGTCCATGCACCTGTAGTCTCGGGATTAGACTACTGTAATTTGCTCTACTTGGGGCTACCTTTGAGATTGATGTGAAAGCTTCAAATGGTGCAGAACGCAGCAACCAGACTTCTTACTGGGGTGAGAAAAGATCAACATATCTCCCCTACTCTGGCTGCCCTGCATTGGCTGCCGTTCGTTTCTGCATCGATTTCAAAGTACTGTACTAATGATGACATATAAAGCCCTAAATGGTTTAGGACTTCAATATCTGGTGGAATGCCTCCTCCCACCTAGACCTACCTGAATCACTCACTTTAGTCAAGATGGGCGGCTGAGGGGTCTAATGCCTAGGGAGACCTGAAGAGAAAGAACAAAAAAGCAGGCCTTCTCGGCAGTGGCCCCTCGCCTGTGGAACAATCTCCCCCCAGAAATTTGTCTGACTCCCTCGCTGGGTGTTTTTAAGAGCTAACTCAAAACCTGGCTCTTTAGGCAGGCCTTTCCTCCTGTCAAAACCTAACTTATTTGCTATTTTCAATTGTATTAATGTTATTTTATTTTTTATTATTCTTGAGTGTTATTAGCTGCCCAGAGTAGATTTCGGTCTAGATGGGCAGGACACAAATTAAATAAATTAATAACAACAACAACAAATTTGTATTAGGAAAGCTTCTCCTTTTCTTTCTTAAAATCTGTCTAATGGAACACATGAGATAAATCATTACCCTTTCCCCACAATCACCTGTACAGTGGTGCCTTACTTGATTATTACCTCGTTAGACAAGGAGATCACTTGACAATTAGTTTTTTGTGATCGCTATTGTGATAGCTAAACAATGACTGAATGGGCTTTTTTTGCTTAATGTTGATTGATTCCCTGTTTTGGGAACCGATTTTTCGCTTAGTGATGATCAAAAACATTGGGTTTCAAAGTGGCTGTCCGCTGTGCAAAACGGCGCCCCGCTGTGCTTTAGGACAGATTCCTCCAAAAGAAACATTTACTACTGTATTACATAAACAATTGATGTTATTTTAGTTGCATTTGGTTCTTTAAAACGTCCTTGTAGGATTTCATTCTGAATACAATTCCAAATGTACATTATAGTCCCTAAACCCCTTTACAGCATTGGGGGTTGAATAATTTTGAACACAACTGTACCAGAAGCAACACAGCTTTATTTTCTTTACTCACTTACCAGTGGAAGTATACAAGTTTTCACAGATGCATCATCTGGAACATTGTAAGGAAGCTTGTGTTTTTCTGTATTCTTATCTAGCTTGCCTTTCATGTCCCAGATGAATTATCATACTGTGGTGTGTTGCTGTATAGATCAGAGATAGGGAATATATGACTTTACAGATGTTACTGAACAGCAGCTCCCATTGAATCTCACTGTTGGCTGTTCTGGCTAAACTTGATTGGAAAGGGGGTTTCAAGAATATCTAAAGAACTATATATTTCCCATATCTGATTTTGATTCCTAACTGATACTAAGTCCTGTTGGACACCATAATACTTGCTTCTAAGTGATGAATATGTATATATGAGCCTGTACTGTATGTACTTTACAGAGATCTGATTTCTAAAATTGTTTATTCCGCATCAAGCAGAGCTGCTTAAAAATTAAATGGTATAGCACTATGTCCACTTATGCCAGTAAACTGCTGTTTTTTTTTTAACAAACTACATCTAAAATGAATGTGATTGTGTTGCATTTGTTCACTTTAGGATTCTCTTGTATTTTTTTTTTCTTATGCAGTGAAATTGTTTGAAAATGTCACTATATCCTTCGCTAGAAGATCTAAAGGTGGACAAAGTAATTCAGGTATGCCCCTGTGCATTTTATAGAAGGAATTAATTTTGTTGAAAATAAAAACCATAATAATTTGAGAATGTTGCTTTGTTATTGTTTATTGATCAAGGAGGGGAAGCTGGCCTAGCCTTGGTCCCAATCCAAACTCAGAAGGATCTAGGCCTCGTCTCTGAGAATTTTGCCTCCCTTATTCTCACAGCCTGGATTGGAGGTGGCGGGTCTTCTTTTGCTGTAACACTACATATATCTCTTTAGGTACAGTTCATCTTTCCATTTGGCTTGTAGAGGAATTCTGAGGCCTTTCCCTTTGGGCTGCAAGTCCTTGGCTTTAGTACAGTGGTGTCTAACCTTGGCCCTCCAGATGTTCTTAGACTATAGCTCCCAGAAGCCTTCACCACCACCTCTGCTGGCCAGGATTTCTGGGAGTTGAAGCCCAAGAACATCTGGAGGGCTAAGGTTGGACACTACTGCTTTAGTATAACTCAGAAGCACTCATTAGTTCTCTCGCAAGGGCATGTGATATCAAGGCCATGCCCTCTGCTGAGGTTTGAGCTGCACAGTAATCCAGCCTTGCATCCAAATGATAAGTCACACAGGGAACCCCATGGTAGAGTGGGAAGCTGAGCCCAGTTCTAGTCTGATACTCAGTTTTTCTGCTGTTATAATCTGGCATTGTTGAAAATTAGAGGATACATTGATCACAGCCTGTGTGCATTTTTTTAAAAAGTCTTTGTTGCTCCTTTTTTGAAAAATCTAATTTCTTGAGTAATTGGTCTACTTGGCACATTCAGAATCTCTGTAGAAGTTTACTTTCCTGATTTAAAGGCAGTTAGAATACATTTTGCTGTGCAAATTTTATGCTTTTCGTGTAGAACTATGTACAAACAAGGTATATACAAGAGAAGTAATCTTGTACTGCTTTGTTGGATACAAGAATTTAGTATGGCAGTGGTCCCCAACATTTTCCAAACTGCAGACCGGTTGGCGTGGTTGGCACACACCCCACTCACAGGTGGGCATGGCATGCTCATGCAGGCGAACGAGGTGCACTTGCACACATTTGCAGGTGGGCGAGGCTCACACACATGCATGAGTGGGCGTGGTGTGCTCGCAGATGGGCATGGTGCACTCATGCATGGATGGGCGTGGTGTGCTCGTGTGTGAGTGGGGTGTGCACGTGCAGGTGGGTGGGGCACCCATGTGGGTTGGTGGGCTGTGTGCGCAAGTGGGTGTGCGGGAGATCTGTCTCCTGGCCCGGTCCTGTAAAGGCCACATATTGGCAGCAGACTGGGGGTTGGGGACAGTATGTTAGACAAGAACATGATATCGTAACCCTATAATTCAATTCATGAAGAATCTCTGCCGAATGTTTCCCTCTTCATTTGGCTTCTTTGGTAGATTACCATATTCTAGCTCATCCATTCATCTATCACGTCATAGCTACAATTCAAATATATAAATATCATTACAGCAAAATAAAGACAGATTTATTTTGGTATATTACATTGGAGTATGACTTTTCATCATTGAAGACTACTAATAATGTATTACATTGGAGTTTGTTGAAACAGCCAAGACTTTTCATCATTGAAGACTACTAATAATGGATCCTTCAGGCCAGGAAGGGCTATGCTTTTTCATCTTCTGTATTTTTATAACTCCTTTCTCTTGGAATCTATTACCATCAATAATTTTGGATTCTTAGCTGTTAGGATCCAGACTTCTGTTTCTCTGATCCTAGGAGATAATTTTTATCCACTACTCAGACTGGAGCTTAGAATTAACTGCTGGGAGGCAGGGTGGGGTTTGCCATTTGAGGCTGTTGCCAAAACAAAAAACAAACAAAAAAAAACCAAGAGTTTTGTTGCACCTTTAACACATTATTTTATGCATGTTTTTGTAGACTACAGCCTGTTCTTTCAAATGCATTTACAGGAGAAGTTATAAAATAAACCTTAATTGTATATATTCACATCATTTCTGGTGAAGACCTAGGAGACATGCTTACCTAAACTGAGTTTGGTTGGTATAATTAGGAAAATGATAAAAATGGAAATGAGATCAGTACGTATCTGTACTTTCATAAAGTATTTTTCTTGTAGGCACAAACATCTTTTGCTTCAAATCCAGCTAATCCTGCAATTCTGTCTGAAGCCTCAGCACCTGTCTTTCAAGATGGAAGTAAGTGACTATAATGTGAGAAAGTAAAATCTAGGGAATGAAAATATATATTTCACAGAAATAAATTCATCTGTTATTTTATTAAACCAAAAGATAAAATCCAAAGGAATTCAGAAACAACTTAGAAAAAAATAAATTAGACAGGTACTTGACATCATACATTAAAGCACTCCAGATATTGTAATTGTCTTCATATGCATCAGTTCTATTTATTTGTTATGATCTTATCTTTTATTTAAACAATTTCTGCCCATAATGTACCCCAGGCATTAACAGTAGTAATAAAAACTGGTAAAGAATAAATAAAAGCTCCGGTCGCAAGTAGAAGCAAAATTTTGCGGCCGGAGCTGGTCGTAACTCGAAATTGTCATAAGTAGGGGCGCTTGTAAGTCGAGGCACCACTGTAGTTGTTATTGTTGTGGCTATGAGCTGCCAAGTTGCTTCTGACTTATGACACAATGACAGAGTTTCCAAATAATGTGAAGTCTTCAAGCAGTAGTTACTCTTGCCACACTCAGGTTCCATGGCTGAGCAGGGATTTAAGCCTATGTCTTCTGTGTCAAAAGTCTAACACTATCCACTACATCACACTGGCTTGCATTGTTATTTTATGACAGTTCGGTTCATGTTATTAATATTAGGGACAGTTTTTGACTTAACTCTTTAAACCTTCAAAAGGTCTTTATCCCAGACTGTATCCTGAACTTTCCCAGTACATGGGTCTAAGCCTGAACGAAGAAGAGATACAGAGAAACATGGGAATGGTTTCTACTGCAGATTCACAGGTGGTAAGTGTCAATCCAATAAAGCAAGAGTTCTTTTAGGTTTCCTTGCATCTTATTCATCTTTCTTTCTTTCTTTATAAACAAGGTATTTTTATGTGCTAGAAAAACAAGTATGCCTCTATGCAGAAGTGATCCTTCCTTTTGCAGGATTGCTTTGGTAAACAATGGACATATGCACCTAGCTTGAAAATACCTGAGTTGTATAGTGATTGTAGATGTATGGGTCTTAGGCTAAAATCACACTGTTTTGATAAAGTACAAAACTGTTGTCCTGAAATCCTCATTCATAGCTTGAGGCAAAGGCCTATACTGTATATGAAATTTGGTTTGGCCTTGCTTTTAAAATCTATTTATGCCGGTTTTCTAATCTTCAGCTTGTTGCAAGGCCTTCAGCAGCGAATTACATGGTGGCTCCAGTAACTGGAAATGATGTTGGAATTCGTCGAGCTGAAATTAAGCAAGGGGTTCGTGAAGTAATCTTGTGTAAAGATCAGGATGGAAAAATTGGTCTTCGGCTTAAATCAGTAGACAATGTATGTATTCTTTTGGGATCCATTTATATCCATCTATGTATCTCAGTTCTGAAAACTGAGAAGACATTGTAAAATTGCTAATCCAGAGGATTGATTTTGAGGCTGAATTTTGTTTTCTCTAATTTTATTAATGCACTGATAATCTACTACATCTTCAGAAAGGGTATATTTCTCAGTTGTAAAATTGTAACTATTGTGTTGAAATCTGGAAAATAACAGAATGATTTAAAAGTTTGAATTACATTCAATTTATGAGATGATAAAATTAAAAATACTTTGCATTCTGAAATTGGTTGTTTTTTTTTTTAAAAAAGCTGATTATATGATTTATAGGAGTGATACTACTAAGAAAGATATACTTTGGGTTAACAAGCTGTGTATTTTTAAAAAACATACAAAGCAATGTTTAATAAACTTTTTGATGAACTGGCAACATGACTAAATTTAGAACATGTTGCATTAAAAGTGGTAGCAAGTCCATGTGTGATGTGTCATTCTCTTACGTTCTCTTGCATACTTATGAAAAAATGAACTAGATAGATACATTGCTTGTTTTATCTTAACATTCAGATGCATCTCTGTTTAGGGCATATTCGTCCAGTTGGTTCAGGCAAATTCTCCAGCATCACTCTCTGGCTTACGATTTGGAGATCAGGTTTTGCAAATCAATGGTGAAAACTGTGCAGGATGGAGTTCTGAAAAAGCCCATAAAGTTCTGAAGCAAATACCTGGAGAGAGAATTTCAATGATAATTCGTGACAGGTAAAGCTTTCAGAAACATGTTATATTTGATTAACTATTTGGGATTTATGTCGATAAATTGGTAAGGAGAATGTTCAAATTTTATCAAGTGTGTCTAGTTAATGTGAGACCAGTAATGTCCAATTTGATGATTGTATTGTTTTGACTAAATACTTTAGATAGTGAGTTGTGAATACTTTTCTTATAGGCCTTTTGGGCGAACTATTACCATGCATAAGGACAGCACAGGACATGTTGGCTTTATATTCAAAAATGGAAAAATAACTTCAATAGTGAAAGACAGTTCAGCTGCTAGAAATGGACTTCTGACTGAACACAACATATGTGAAATTAATGGGCAGAACATAATTGGCCTGAAGGTGAGTGATATGCTTTGCTTCAAGAGTAAAAAGAATGTGGTATGTGTGTCTGTGTGTACACCTGTGCATACGCTACATGCCATGTAACATAGTGTCTGCAAGTACAGTGTTTCTGCAGATATTTATTTAAAAAAAAACCTCCTAAGACAAACTCATGAGGCGTACCTCATACATGTCTGTACGTAGGAAATATGTGAAGGACTATGAAACATAATAAACATGTTTCTGTTTCTGCCTGCTTTATCTAATACTTGTGAATTGTTGCCACAGTCGCTAAGAATTGTTTACGTAGAACAGGTCTCAGTCACATTTCATAAAAGAATGGTAAGAAAATCTCTTTTCTTCAGAAGAGCAGTAATACTTTGTGTTATTTTCTTAATATTGGATATTATTTTCACTGTATCCTGGGAAGTACTCCTGTGTGTTTCTATTATAAGGGAGCATCGTTACATCCCTGTGGTAGTGCTGAAGCAGATTTCTGTTTCTATTTGAAGCAAGTTATTGTCTCTTAATCATTTTCTTAGTCGCTTCTTCAGTGCTCAGTTTTTTTAAGTGTCAGACATACATGACTGATAGGATTCAGCTCAACATTCACTCCCTCTTTTTAAAAGTTGCTGGTGTTCTTGTTATTTAAAAGAAATAAGCTGTTCCATTTCACTGGTAAGACCAACAAAAGTTGCTTAGTAGTGGTAGTACATGTGAGATTCTCCAATAAACCCTGCTAGCACTGAGGATTTGGTAGCATGCAGTATGATAATGGTGGTGTAGCTAAGAAGCTGTCATATGTCCGCGAGCTGGCAAAGACCTTTCTTTTCAGGCAGGCTTTCCCTGAGTGACTGACTGTGTGAGTGAAGTTTTTAAATGGATTGGATTACCTATGTTTTGGTTGTTTCTTTGTATGGTATTTCATCATTTTTTAGTATTTGTATACTCACTGTTTTTAGTTTTAATATTGTCTTTTAATAATACAGTACTGTATAAGCTGCTTTGGGTCATTTAAGGAGAAAGGTGGGATAAAAATATTTTAAATAAATAAATAATGTGTCTGTGCTTTAAGTTATTGGGTTGTAGTAGTTAACAAGTGGTCATGAATGTGATGCCTTTTACAGTAGCTCTATTAGAACTTCACCACCACCAGAGCCAGGACGTCATCATCACTATTCCAACTTCAGATGTGACAGCAAGGAAGCAATGATTTTGTGTGGTAGCCAGTCTCCCCAGATTTTTTTTTTTTTTGCACTTTGGTATCTGTTACGTAATACCAGTCATATATTGTCTTGTATTTTCCAGTAATACTTTTAGACCTGCGGAGCTGGAAGGAACCCTATGGATCATAAAGTCTAGCCTCCTCCAAGGAGGCATAGTAGTAGGGAATCAAATTTCTAACCTCTGGCTCCATAGTCAGATACTGAGCTATTCAGCATGATCTAACAATCTGCACTTCTTGTTTTTCACACACGACTGAAGCTTTCTGCCTTTTATGTGTTTATTTCTTGGTCTTTAACTATTTCCTTTAGGTAGGCCTGTTTTTTAATTGTATAAACAGACTGTCCTTTACCTCCATGTATGCATATTTTATTTTGAAGTATGCATTCACCTCAGTAGAATGCAAAGTATCTAAAAGAATTAACACTGCTGTTGTCAGTAAGACAGAGCTGAGACCACAAAAAACTTCCTGTGTACATTAAGGTTTCTCAAGAATTAATACATTTTATATTTTGCTTAACAGGACGCTCAAATTGCAGATATATTGTCAACAGCTGGAAATATAGTGACAATCACTATCATGCCTTCTCAGATCTTTGAACATATGATAAAGAGGTATGTGTAAAATATATTTCCATTTTAAGTTGGTTAAGTTTAGTAAATTATGAACCCATATTTCCTAAAGATATGGAGAACATGCTTTATCTGAATTGTGTCCAGATACTGTAAAACACATTTGAGTTGGAACTTCCATCTGTGTTCCAAATCGCTTTATCCAGTATTGAATAAGAATGCATGTATGTTGAGAATGAACTTGAGTATACAAATAAAGTTCTCAAGTGGCAATTAACTCAAATTTCAAGGACTGTAAGAATATTCAAATCATGTAACATTGTTTTTTCTATATGCTTTTAATGTTAAAGAATCCTTGTTCTTATTTTCAGGATGGCTTCAAGCATTATGAAGTCTCTTATGGATCATACTATCCCTGAAGTCTAATACTCAGTTGATATGCATGTGATTGAAAACAACACTGCTAAGCATTGGCTACTATTTACTCTGCAACATTTTTTCTGCACATGAACCTTTCTTTTAAGCCAAGATGAGAGATGCTGCATTGAGTATTTGCATTGTTATGGCTGAGAATGTTCAATACAACATATTACCTTGCTCTGACTGACTTTTCTAGCCTTATGTTTGTCAAAACAAACTGCATAATGTTTTTTCATAAGATGATCTTGTATAATTCAACACTATTTCTATAAGCCATTAGTATCAATGAAGCTGTCTCCTGCAATTGTTAGTATTTGCTATCTGTGCTCTGTGTATACAGCTGCTCCTAGTCTTTCTGTTTGAAGAATGTTTAGAATTCTGTGTAGTGCTAATTAACTGGTTCTAGTAATCTTGTTTACAAAGCATGCCAGTTAAACTGAGCATAGCTAGTATTTATCATTCCATTGATATTTTAAATAGTGTGTTTTGCAGATGACCATTTAGGTTTATCTCACTGCTTACAGAATCACTCTACTGTATTTAAATTCTATTGCCTTAAACATCTTAAATTAGAAGTAAAAAAATTAAACTTTTGCAACTGTCAGTCGTAAACTGCACTAATTCTTCTAAGTTAATGATTCAATGCAAAGGAACATGGAGGAGTGAAGAATAAAATGCCACTGGCCTGTAAAGTACAGTATGGGTTTTCATTTTGGATCAGCGAATCTGTTGTGTTCCCCCGAAAATAAAACAGGGCCTTATAATAATTTTTGCTTCAAAAACGCTTTAGGGCTTATTTTCGGAGGTTTTATTTTCCGTGTACAACAATCTATATTTATTCAAATACAGTCATGCATCTTCTGGTTGTTACACAATGATGGAGGGCGGGGTTTCACTTAACTGGGGCTTATTTTTGGGGTAGAGCTTACATTATGAGCATCCTGAAAAATCATAGTAGGGCTTATGTTTAGGCTAGGTCTTATTTTCGGGGAAACATGGTAGTAGTGTAAGTTGTGTAATGTCTTTTCTGCTTTTCCTTGGTAAGTAACTTGTGTAATGTCTTTTCTGCTTTTCCTTGGAGGAAGGAGAACACTGACTTGCTGATTTCTTGAATCCAATGTGATTACGCAAAATAATTACTTTACCTTCTGTAAAAGTAACTTTAAATTTTGTTCTGGAACTAACACAAACGCATTAAGAGAAACTAATCTGTACTTGCTATGAGGGTTATCTGAATTCAACAGCCTTGTCAGAGCTTGTAAGTAACATGTTGCAACTAATGATACTTTGTGCAGCAGATAATTGGTTGGGCTCACAACGGCACCCTAACTTGTAGAATAACATAATGACTAATCACCAATACAGCAAAACTCTAATGTTAACCATTACTTTCAAACATTTGTTTGCCATTTTTATATTTCCAGTTTTAAAAATAAAAACAATGTTAACATCCAAAGTTCTGAACCTAGTACTGTTTGCTGCAGCAGAAGAGGTCAAGTTACTCAAAACATGGCCAAACACCCTGAAAAACCTACAACAACCATCAGATCCCGGCTGTGAAAGCCTTTGAGAATACATTTAATCAAAACAGATTTTTTTAAATCTAACATTGCAGGCATTACTAGGAAAGCTTTTCTCCATTGATGAATGTGTTGCCAATTTGAACAGTATTTTGGACTGGATTTATTTTAAAACATGAGAGGTTAGAACTGTAAAATCATAACTTCGCGTAACTGCTGTATTTTTTAGTCGCAACAAAGTGGCATTGTTCCTATTTAAATTTTATTTGGTTAGTTGCAATGTCAAACTGCTGCTTGTATCCCTTATTGCATGCAAGTGAGTTAATCAGTAATTTTTTTGTGCTTTAAGTCACACATACTTCAATGGTAACCAATTGTTTTCTTACCAATGTATAAAACATTCTGGACTTCAAAGGTGTGTCAGTGCCTTATGTAGAGTCATCACTTTGCACAGTAAGAGTTGTATCTACTACAGCTGACTCTGAAGTAAAGCATTTTTGAGAAAGCAGCCATTTTAAATTCAGAGAAGGCTAGTATAGTAGGCCTCATACAGTCTCATGTGCCGAAGGCCAGATGTTCATCTCCATGATGTTGAGATATTATTCATGTAAGTCAGCAGGACAGAAAGTAAAAAAGCCCAACACTTTGATTACATAAAAATAAGTCTTTATTTTCAGTTGAGTATTTAGGCAAGCATTCCAAGCTGAAATGGCATCCGTAAACAAAATATAAGCACAAATTGCAGTTTTGACACTAATATTTAGAGCTTACAGCTAAACAACAGGAGAAAGGGGCAGCCAAAGCTCTTTATCTAAACTGCAGCAGGCTTCATCAGATGCGGACAAGGTCCTTTTAAAAAGTTCATATTAAAACATTTTAAATACTGATCTTTAGGAAGAAGGCACTTAGTATTGCTGTTTCCAAAACATGATTTGTTTATCTTCTCCTCCAGTGATTATGCTGCTACATTGTTCATTCATCCACATAGAAGTCACAGCACCTAAAGAAGAAACAAGACAGAGAGGTTAGATAAGTGGCCTGACTTTGTGAAGTGGTTTAGCAAATTGATACACAAAGTTACGGCATGGGATGGCATGCTCAGGGATGTATGTCTGCTCCTAAGGAGTTTAGGTCACAGTTGCAATAGTTTTCAGGACTGGGTCTCTAGCAGCAAGATAAAAATCTAAAGTTCTAGCATTTAGTGTCATATGAAAGATGGCTTCTGCCATGTTCAAGGTAAGATCAAACTCAACAATGTATTAGGCTCTGAGGTGCAATGGAAAATAATGTATGAATTGATATATTTCCTGGCAAATCCAATGTGTGAAAATGTTTCTTAAAATCGAGACCTTCAAATACATACCTGCATGTCCTGAGATTTTTTCTATTATTTTTCCTCCAACTATATCCCAGAGAAGCAATTCTCCTGACTGACTTCCTGATAAAACAGTATTGCCATCCCACTTGAAACATCTGTAAATGTAAGTCACATTTGAACAGAAAATTCTATGCAGCATTATTTCCACACAGTACGTAGCACAGCCCATAATGTACAAGAAACACTGAAATGCATCTCTCCCTCTCTCTTAACAAGACTTTAGTTATGTTTTGCTCCTTAACCAAAGTGGACATTAGACTAAGAAACTGAACTCCAATCAGTATTGATTTATCATGTATTTCCCACATGCTGCTACCTTTGGGGTTGTCCTGTGGCCACAGAAGATATAATCATTCCAGTTTGTACATCCATAACTTTGAAGTAGCCATCATCTCCTGTGCTTAGTAGGTGTCGACTATCTAAAAAAACAAAACAACTGTAGTGGATATTTAATTCAAGTTCATCATACAGCCAAAATGAGGACTTATTTGGCACAGACCATATGGTGTCCAGTACCATATATTTTACTCCCACTGGGCCAATTATAGTTTTTGGGATTTATGTTTTAACAGGTAACCACAGGATTGCGCCAAAGCTTACAAATCCCAAATTCACTCACCTGGATGTACTAGGCTCTTTATACGGGTATTGTTTTACACTTGATTGAGTAAAGAATAAAAAACCAGGCAGCACAAGCTTTGCTATTTAGCTATTCAATAGCTGGGTAATGAAGAAAGGTGCCTACTAAACTTGGCCTTTACCAAGCAGTCAATTAAAACTTTAAACAGTTTTAAACACCACAAAAGTTCACAGATTCTAGTGTGGGTTTTTTTTGGGGGGGGGGAGAGAAATTCAGGAAATTTGCTTTAGCAGGCACAGTCGCATGCACCCAGCCTGATCACCCTTAGGTTTCTAGAAGCCCCTTCCGTATGTGGTGAGTTCCAGGGAGTTGTATTCCAGAAACACCTAGGAACCACGGGTTTTTAACCAAAATGATATGACAGAAAAGTCATCAAACAGGAGACTGGATCTCTCTTGTATTTCAAGCAATCAATATCCTGACTAGAGAGGAGGCTATTTGTATCTGAATGCCCCCGCACAGCTGGACGTAACATCTATTCTTATGTCCACCGCTGCCAGCGGCTCTGCTCTCCCTTCCAATCGCTCTGGAGCTTGAGGTCGGTGATCCACTCTTCAGCTTAGCAGGGAGACTCGTCTTCGCTCCTTCTGCCAGGAGTGGATAGTCAACTATGAGTGATTGGAAGGGAGTGTGCAGCTGGCTGCAGCAGTGGACAGGTGAGTGGACAGTCCGGCCCCAGGGGGCGGGACTCTCATGTCCACCTGTGCGAGGGTATTCATATTCATATACAAATACCCCCATCTCTAATGCTGACCCAACACTGGCAGTCAGTATGATCATGGTTTTCATGCACTAGTTAATTTTTTGCCTTTGTTCAATTGCACAATTTTAAGTAAGGATAACATACAAAGGTCAGAATCCTGTTGTTTAGCCTAATAAATCCCATTCAAGTAGACCCACTGACTCAATGGAGATTTCATGAGTCATCTCCACAAAATCCATTGATTCAAACGGGCAACTTAAGTATAGTAAGTCACAGAGTGTGCCCATATAAATCAATGATACAGAGGAGTTGATTCACTAGGCAATTTATTATGCTAAGCAACAGGATTTTGGCCAAAGCTTACAAAGAGAGACTACTGACTGATCATGAGGGTTGCAATCCTTTGTATACCTATTTAGGAGTAAGTCTGATTGAATATTTATTTCATGTGTAGAGATGGTGATATTCAGATATGAATATGAATATCCTCAACGAAACTGGACCAAACAAAGGTCCGGCCCCTGGGACCGGATTGTCCACTCATGTGTCTTGCCACAGTGATGGTCCTGCTCGTCTTTCCACTGGCACCCAGAGCACCGCTATCTTCCTGCTTGGAACAGGAAGAGAGATGAGCTCCAGGCGCCATTGGAAGGACGAGTGAGACTGGAGCTGTAGCAAGTCTTGAGTGGACAATTCAGTCCTGGGAGTTGGACCCTCGACAGGTCCAGCTGCATAGGGGATATTTGTATTTGAATACAAATATCCCCATCTCTAGCTATGTGCCATCATGTTGGGAGCTAATTTACAGTGACCCTAGCAGGGCTTTCAAGATAAGTGAGATATTTAAGGAGTGGTTTTACTTCCACCCCCTCAGTGAATTTCCATGGCCAAGTTGGGATTTGAACCCTAGTCCCCAAAGTCCTAGTCTGTCATTCTATCCACTGCATCACACTGGGTATCAGTGTGAATATAGTAGAACTTAATCCTATGTGTCAATGCATGGAGCTGCACTGCAATTCTATGTTTCCTATTGAGAATTCAGATTCAGTAACAGACTGAAATATTTTCTTTCACACTACTTATATTTTAGAAAGCTTTAATGCAACATACCAGGACTAAAAGCAGCATCAGAGACAGTCCCTGAATGGCATGCAAGTTGATGCAACACAGAGGCAGTAGTAACATCCCAGATACTAATGGTCCCTTCTTTAGTTCCTGATGCAAGGAGCGTATATGCATCATTTAAGTTGATTGTATTGACCTAAATAATTAAGTACACATTATTTGCTTCCTCATCATTCAAAGTACAACAGAAAAGTACAATGAAGTATTTAAAAGGCATGCAATAATTTTACTATGAAAAATTATTTTTTACTGATGCCTGGAGCACTTACAACATTCAAGGCTATGTATATAATAATCTGGATTAACTCCATTGACCAAAAGGTTCAAGTAGAGAGGAAGAACTGTTTTTTTGCGCCTCCTTTTTCTCCACTGCAACTTTTGGTGACCTTTGAAAATCTGTTTATGGAAGCTTTCAGAACAGCATAAGAGAAGGGACTCTGGAAGAAAATCACTAACCCATTTTTGCAAGCAGGAACCTCCCAATGTGTTACAGTCCTTTCCAATACAACAGCAAATGGCCATTTAGAATCCAAGCCAGAAGTTTCTTATCTCTATAGAGCTAGGTGCATAACTTATATTTTAAGACTAAACCTACAGTTGTGTTCAAAATTATTCAATCTCTATAGAGTTAGGTGCAGAACTTATATTTTAAGACTAAACCTACATATTAATTCTGTCAAGTTCAACAGCAGAGATTTGATGACGATTAGATTAGCCATGCTGACATATGCAGCGAACAAGAGCAACCACACAGCATGAGGAACTAATAGCACAGAATAGCAGAAGAGGTCCCATCTCATCCATTCTTTGTAGATCAACCCACATCTGCCTGAACAGCCACGTAAAATTCTTGTGCTTTTGTCTTCAGGATTGAAGTAATGCATACTTTTTACTACCAGCAAAATTTACTACAGCTGCGTGAAGTCTCTACCAGGGTTTTTTTTGGCAGTGATTGAAAGAAGTTATTACTATATTCTCATACTGTTGTTCATTCTTATTTCAGTAATCCAATTCAACCAAAGTATTTATATATTTCTTGAGACAAGGAACAGATAAATATTGTAAATACATTCTTTGAGCATGAAAAATGAGACATATTTTGACTAATCAAAAAAAAAAAAACCTTCATGAAGAAAATCCCAGATAAAGGTGTTTTTATTTTAACAGACAAATGCAAATACTGTATAAACACATCAAACACAAATGTGCCTGCACATGTCATCAGGAATAGAGCCTCCTTTTATTATTACAGCATTTTGACTGTAATTTTATTTTGGGTGGAAGCTTCTCTCTCTTTTTCCTCTGAGAAACAGTGTACTTCAATACCTCTCCTTTGGCTATACATCTTCAAAACCAACTTTCATACAGACTTCCCCTGCTCCTTCCCCAATATCTGATTATGTTGAGGCTTGAAACAATTTGAAACAACATTTTGCATATCAAAAAATATGCATGCACACATTTTCATACTCACGCTAACATCGTGTTCTAATTCAGCAAGCAATTCAAAACGTTTCTTGCTGCCCAATACTTCAGAAGGAATGCAACGCCACACCTAGAACAGAAATATTTGAGGCAGACATAAACTTCTCCTTACCCATTTGTGATAGCTGTAATAAAGTAGGAGATAACTTGAAAAATTAAGCTAATTTTCAGTGATTTGCTCACATATTCTCTTCAAACATTTTGAGCACCATTATACATCTATTTTAAAGCTTGATCAACGTGCTGCAACATAATCCTGCTGGTACCTGAATTCGGAAAAGAAACAGAGTGGCCAAGTCTGTGTTCCCAAACCAAATAGTATACGTTAGCAACCACCTGAAACTGCTTGCATTCTATGATGTGAATACCAACTTGGCATGTCAATTCATGTCAGTTCCTGTTGCATGGAAAATTGCTGTGCCTCTGTTCACCAGGAATAACTGGCCAGTAGCATGGGAAATACTAGGAACATGCCGTATAGCCAGACATCCAGCATGTTAAAGACACTGTAAGAAACAAGCATCACTGCGGTGCTGTCTGGACATCCTCCTGAACTTGCATAGGGCTAAACGTGTGGTTGAGCTATGAGGTGTTTGCGAACAATATGCTGATGACAGATCTACTTTGCCTTTTTGTTGTGGTAAGCTGGGGCACTGTAGGTGCTGGACTAACATCTGGAGGCTATCAGGGGCTGGATAAGGGCCAATAAAGTATAGCTGAATACCAACAAGACAGAGGCACTGTGGTTCAGTTGTTTTCAGGTCTGGGAGTTGGGGATGAGACCTGTTCTGGATGAAATCACTCACCAGTGAAGGAGCAGCATCACAGCACAGAAACATAACCCCCCCCAACCCAAACCCACCCTACAAAACCCTGTAAATGTACTTACTCAGAAGCACAACGCAACACCAGGCAGTCTGAAGCCTCATTCGATGCACAAACTGTAACCGTTGGGGCGAAAGCTACAAAGAAGTAGTCTCTTCACCAACCAACAGTTAGTAGATTTGAATTCCTTGCCTTTCCCCCCACCTTTTTTTTCTGTCGTAACTCAAAGCTCTGGTCGCAAGTAGAAGCAAAATTTTGCGGCCAGAGGTGGTTGTAACTCGAAATGGTCATAAGTTGGGACATTTGTAAGTCGAGGCACCACTGTGCAAGGGAGGGCTTTCTTACCCATAGCACCCCAGCTGTGGAATTTCCTCCCCTTGGAGGTTCAACTGGTGCTGACACTGGCATCATTTCAGCACCAAATCAAAACATGCTTATTTATTGGAGCCTTTGAGAATTAAAGATCTTGGCCTGCAATGGTTTTAATGCTTTAATGTTATGTGTTTTAAACTGTTACAATTGTAAATTGTCCTATATGGCTCTGTAACCCGTCCTGAGATATTGCAATATAAGGTAGGCTATAAATGTTTTAAATAAATAAATAAAATAAACCTTGGTCCTGAATGACCTCACATAGATAGCTGTGTCAGAAATTGACAGCGATACTAATCATGGAAATTCTGTAGATATGTTCAGCTGAAGGCAGTTACAAAGCCCTCTCCAGAATGTCATGCACAACAGCAAAGATCTAGTATAGTTCCAGGTGCATGGTGACATACAGTGAGCAGAGAGACCTTCTGAGAATGCCCACATCCCCACTCCCGTTAGTCTTATATTGGCAGGAAACAAACAAGCACATGAGACTACAGAGAAGTTAATGTAACTTCCACATCGCAGTCCTTACTAAAACCATACAGGACAGCTGACATTAATTTGCAGGACTCAGATCTGCACCTGGAATTATAAAGAGGGGGGAATTGTGGTTTGGGTTTTATTTTGTTGTTTACAATTTGTACCCCCTTAAAAAAATTCATATAGGAGGCTTTTGGTTGCAGTGGCAATTCAACTGTTTTACCATTTTGAAAAGTCATATCCAGCCACAGGCCCTGACAAGTTTATGATCCTTGCTCAAAATAGTAAGAACTACAATAACAGGTAGTGCTCATTCCACTGCTTTCACTACAAATTTAGAGCAAGTGAAGAACACAACCTACCTTTACAGTTGAATCCCAGGATGCAGAATATAAACAATCGTTGTGCCAGCAGATCTTACTGACAGCATCATCATGACCTATTAACACGTCCTGCTGCCTTCCAAAGGCTATTGAATAAAAATAGCTAACAGGAAAAAAAAAGAGAAGGGGGATGTCTATGAATATTTCGCATATAACTTTTATTTTAGACTGCAAATTGATGCAAGATTGAATGGACCTCACTTCTCTAGCCTAAACAAAGCATTCATAAAGCAGTTATGAAATTGTACTACATATTCATATAGATAAAAATAAAGATAACATACATATTGTTGTCCCAGGAAGAACATACAACAGTGGTATCACCCGGTGGGATTAAACAAGATGACAAGGCCTAGGACATAAAGAAGACACAGAATTCAGTTTAATGACAAACCTGCAAGAACACCATGGACTAAAATTTGAGGCAGTTTTGTTACAAGTATCATGTGTAGCCTAGGATTTGAAAATGCTATCCTGTTGTAACAACCAAACCAAATTGTTTCAGCATGCTTAGTAACAACACATTGTTAAATAAAACAAAGCTGTACATGGGAAAACAATAAACAGCAAGATAGATCTCTGCTACTGGAGTTTTTGGCCCTCAGAAGAACACATATTTTCATTTGGTACTTGTTATGCATGCACATGTAAAGTTCTTTATGAAGCTAAACCGAAAGGGCTAACAGCTTTACCAAATAAAAGGGAGCTTGGTGCGGCAAGCTGTAACCTCAATTTGTTGGTTGACAGAGCACTGGGCTTATGTAAAACAGCCTAGATCTTTAAAGAAACCATGAAGATGCTGACAAAACACCCTTGGGATTTTGCATTTTGCCCTGCCTGCATCCTACATTACTCACCCCAAAAGTTGTAAAACAAAAAAAATTGATACAGTTTAGGGGCCACTGGACTACAGAGGGAACCTGGCTCTTGTCACATGTGACAAACAAAAAGCCAATAGTTGGCAGCATACAGTACATCCGGATTTAACTAGATTTAACAGCCGCCTAGAGTGGTCGAAATGACTAGATAGGCGGGGTATAAATACAATAAATAAATAAATAAATAAATAAATAGAAAAGAAGGCTACCAATACCCAAATACAAAAATGAAAAGCATTTCATTCAGATTATATTTGACAAAGGCCACTCTGCAGGTTCAAAAGCTATGATGATGATGTGCTGTCATGTCAATTATGATTTATGGAAATTCTTTTAAGAGTTTTCTTGGCATAAAATACTCGGACATAATTCACCGTTCCCTTCTTCTGGGGTCATCTTGGGACTCTGCAGCTTGTCCAAGGCCACACAGCCTGGCTCTACTGCTCAAGAGGCTCAGTGGTGAACTGAACTCCCAACCTGGTTCCTAACTCACTGAACTATCTAACTAGCACTCAACAGCCAAAGAACATTGCAAAATATTAAAAGCACTGACCATGTTTGAGAAAGATACACTCCTTTGAAGCATTTTTGACGCTGTAGAAAACATCTTCAAGGTTGAATCTAACACAAATCATGAGAAAATATGAATGAAAACGAGGCTGCATTTACTGGCACCGCTAATTTCCCCCTTGCTGAGAAAGTAAAATCAACAGGGTTTAAAACTAGAATTCCGCTTAAAGAATAATGGACGCCAATAAACTCTATTATCCAGTCAAATGGATTGCCTATATCAGTGGTTCTTAACCTTTGTTACTCAGATGCTTTTGCACTGCAACTCCCAGAAACCCCAGTCAGGACAGCTGGTGGTGAAGGCTTCTGGGAGTTGCAGTCCAAAACTCCTGAGTAACCCAAGGTTAAGAACCAGTGGCCTATATTGTCCTCAGAAAATTCTACTAATCCTCAGATGGTAAAACTGAATAATGCTTATACGGGGTAAGATTGTCTTTTTTAAAAAAATAAGATAGCCAAAGGTACTCTCTCTCGGTTTTTTTCCTGGTCAGAATGGTAAAATATGTCTGCTCTTTGAATTGGCAGCTGTTGTGAAGTCTAGCTTTCTTCTGCTAATTTACAACAGTTGCTTCGGTTGTTAACATGCCATACCCTGTTAAGAGATACTGAACAGAACTCTGGGAAAAGGCTTCTCCCAAGGTGCCAGAGTAGCTTCTGCTCAGTAAGCCTGAATTGGTTTAAGTCACCTTTGATGTAAAATATGTCTCTAAACTCAGCAGCCTGGTGCCATTCCCCTTAATTGATGATGTTGAAATGCCTCGTGGCAATAACATCAGGAGAAAGGTGAATAAATGTTGCACTCTCTGAAATGCCTCATGGCAATAACATCAGGAGAAAGGTGAATAAATGTTGCACTCTGTCAAGGAAGGGCCTGCAAAAGCAGAATGTGCCCAAGCACCAGTCAACACAAGTGGGAGGCCAGTTTATGTTGCAAGGCAAGGAACCTGACTGCTAATCATGGCAGCTATAAACCTGCAGCATCAAAAGCAGAATGTGCCCAAGCAGCAGTCAACACAAGTGGGAGGCCAGTTTATGCTCAGCAAATATAGAGGTGTTCACTATACGGAGGCACAAAAACAAGACCACCTACCTTGAGATGTAGTGAACACAGCAGATAGGCTGGGACTGGAAGGCACAGCAATTCCTGTGATTGTCCTGCTCAAAACAAAACATTGCACAAACATTGGGTAAATATCTGACAAGGTAATCCTCAACACATCTTATGTAGTACAGAAAGAACACATCTGTTACTTGGACACAAGTTCACCGAGTACCACGGGATATCCCCCTAAATAAATGCACCAAGGGCTACACCTTGGAAGTCTTCAGCATACATTAAAGAAATCATCATTTGCTTAGAGTACATAATTCCAACAGAAAGTTTGGAATTATGACTCTCCATTGATCGTGAACTTGTGTTTCTCCCTGCCACCATTACAACCCAAGACAAGTGGGGTCCACTAATGTCCACTTTGCGATGGCAATGTGAGCTTCCTAATAATGGCCTCTAAATCCTGTTGCTATGTGAATCATTAACAACAATGTTAATCATCTCTACAGCCTACACATTTGTTTCTACATTTGGTTGAAAGCATTGGTTTTGACTTCTGCAGCTGGGATTTCAGAATCCTAAGAATCACTTTAATGTCTAAGAAGTATATTTTCCAGTAGGTATTTTCCATGACTGCCTTGTCAAGTTGGTCTTCGGCTACTTCTGCTTTTGTATTATGTCTGAACTATCAACGGTAGCTTTTAGTTTATTTTTTAAATTAACAAACATGAAGGGAAAAATATTGTCAATTAAGGACCTGCAATGGCACATGTACAACAGTGTTTCACCCAGTCTTTGCACTGTGCTGTGCAAAAACAAAGCCCCTCCTCTCTTACAAGACATCTCAAATGTTACCTCTTCCCATAAAACAATTCCATGCTGATATTACTAGCTCCAAAATATTTTACTGCTCCATTAGGTATACCTCCCCTTTCAAATGTTTTGTAGAATTTACCCTTTATGAATCTTGTGTTTCTCATGCTGTTTTAATCTGGCCATGTTGTTCCAGGCAAGCACGATACTTTCCTCTGTTAGATCTTCAAAAGATTCTTCACTTGGAGAAACTGGGATACAGAAGTGTGTGTCAGAAGAACAATACAAACACATGCAAACCGAATGGGAGGGAGAAGCAATAGAAGAATACCTATGTATTATTTATTTATTTATTTCTGTGCCACCTCTATCCTTTTGTAGGGATAAAAAATAATTAAAATTATTAAAAAAACAACAAATGAAGCTAAAATACAATACATTTTGACACCAAAACAGTTAAATATATATTAAGTTTAAAAGACTATTGGAACCAACTTATAGTAACTTATATTTAAGGAGTGGTTTTACCAGTTGAACACCAGTGAACTTCCATGGCTGAAGAGAGATTCAAAACAAAGCCCCCTGAGTCCATTACTCTAGCCTCTATACCACACTGGGTATCCATTTTAAAAACTACTGATTTTAAAATACTTTTAAAAGACATATGAAAAAATACAGCAAGATGTACAGTGTTCCACAAAAAGTTTAGCCTTTTAGCCATCTAAATCAGTAACTAAAAGCCTGCTTTAAAAAAAAGAGAAGTTTTCATTTGCTGCTGTAAGGATAGAACGGAGGATCCCAAAGAAGGGTAGTTTGCAAGCTGGCAGCAGCTATCCAAACGGCCTCTTGCATATACCCATCAAATATCCCTGCAAGGCAGTGGGACCAATATAAGGGCCTCCCCTGGAGAATTTAAGGCAGATACCACAGGGAAGCAATATGGGGAGATGTGGTTCAAGATTCAAGCTACATAGGGTTTTATAGGTCATAACTAGCACTCAGAATTAGATCCAGAAATGGAGTGGCAGACAATGGTGCTGCTGTAAAGGGAGTTACATGATCCATGTCAGTGGCTCTGGTAAGCAATCTGGCTGCAGTGTTTTAGATCAGCTGTGGTTTCTCAACACTCTTCAAAAGCCAGCCAATGTACAGCACATTATAGAAATCCATATAGGTACAATTAAAGCATGCATCAAATACCTCCCAGGGTTGCTACTGAAATTTTATTTTTCATTTCCCTGACTCTCCCTGACCGACATTTGTCAATTTCCCTGACCACTATTCAAATATAACCAGAAGAAAAATGAATAGGTTGTTTTGCATTAATGCAAGTCTTAATGAGATGTTCCACTCTACAACTACACAAATCTCAACTGCAAAAATATTTGTCAAAGTAAGAGATTTAATATCAGTTTCTTTCAACATTAACTGCAGCAACATCTGTTTTGCAATTGAAAAAAAAATTATACCAAGATACAAACTTGAAGTAAACTCTGAATGCTAACAAATGACATAACATTTTTGTTATTGTTTTAAAGGTACAGTAAAATCATTTAAATGTTCTATCTAAAATGGTTTCTCTGAAGCCATATTACGAAACTTACGGTTTTGAAATTGCAGTAGTAATCAAGTTAGAAATTAGAATACAAGTAATCTGTTTTTAAAGAATAAAGATTTAAGATATAAGAACATAAGAAGAGCCCTGCTGGATCAGGCCAAGGGCCCATCTAGTCCAGCTTCCTGTATCTCACAGTGGCCCCACTAGATGCCTCTGGGAGCACACAAAATAACCAGATACCTGTTTCCTGATATCCCTCCCCTGCATCTGGCATTTCGAGGTACCTTCCTTTTAAGCCTGGAGATTATATATCCCCATCATGGCTTGTAACCTGCAATTGACTTTTCCTCCAGGAGCCTGTCCAATCCACTTTTAAAGGCATCTAGGCCAGATGCCATCACCACATCCTGTGGCAAGGAGTTCCACAGATTAACAACACGCTGGGTCAAGAAATATTTTCTTTTGTCTGTTCTCACACAAAATTTAGATTCTTTACTATTTCTTATACTTCTACAGGTGTTCCAACCCCAAAACATTTTGTGGCAACATACTAGTGTAGCCAGTACAGACATCGGAGGAGAAATGAGCTCCATCAAATAACCTTCCACAGCTGGTGAACCTTTGGCCCTTCAGATGTTTTGGTCTACAACTTCCAAGATCCCAAATACACTGAACAATAACAAGGGAGAGTGGAAGTCATATTCCCAAATAACCAGTAGGTTAAAAGTTTACAATCTTTGTTGGAGAGCCAGAAAAGGAATTAACCAGAAAACAGGGTGAAACATGGAAAAAGAAAATTGCTCCTTTGTCTACAGAAGAGCCAAAAGCTCCACATCATTCCTCTAGGATTGGAAAGTCCTAGGAGGTTACACCATGTAATAGCCCTTCTCGCTCCGATCTTCAGGAGGAAAGTCTTCACCTACTGATAAAGTAACTTTTCATCAAAGGAAACACTATCACATTTCTCAAGGAGCCCTTAATCATTAGGAGTCTTACGTTGCCAAACAAGATGATATAGGTAAAATCAAAGCAGTTAAAACATCAAATCCATGGTGCAACTTGCAAATTTACCTGGAGATTCAGTGGTAGAAAGGCTGCGACTAGATGCTTGAGATAACCTTCTGACCTTTGGGATTATCCTCCGAGGGTGAGGGATAGTAAACAGCTGTTTTGGAGTCTGCCCGAACTCTAAGATCTGAGTCAACAAAGCCACTCTCTCATTTGGGTCCATAATACTACAAGAAATTAAAGAAAAAGGCAACATATGAAGTTGTGCTATATCCAGTCAGTACACACACGCAGGGCCCCCCTCCCCATCAGTTCTTCAGAAGATGAAGCAAATTACTATTTCTGAGAACAAGAAAGGCAGGTTCTGAAGTATTTTTTACCTCCAGTTTAAATGCTGTTATAATCACATGGATAAATTAATCAGAACAGCATACTTCCTTAACTGATCACATAAATAACATTTCACAAATTCAGACATTATGACCGCATGTGCACAAACATGCATGCACATGTGCACAACCTTCCTTTTTCTCATTTACACTGTATGCCAAAATTATGGATTCTACACCTGAAAAATAAAATTTGCAACATTGTCATCTGAACTGCCAACAAAATTACTTCATCACAAAGCCTTAAAAGATTTATAATGGGGAGGTTCATACTTAATATTCCCTATGTCACAGACCACTGTTTAAGGCAGCCATTCTCAACAGGGGCCATATGGCTCCTTGAAGGGGACCATAGACTGGAAACAATGTGTTCAGACACATACTGGCTTTCTAAAGCATCTCGGCTCTTCTGGAGGAAATCAGCCATTCTCAACAGGGGCATATGGCTCCTTGAAGGGCCATTCTCAACAGGGGCATATGACTACTTGAAGGGCCATGGCACATTTGGAGGGGACCATAGACTGGAAAGAATTCTTTACATACCACCTTTTAATGTTTGTTATGCAATGTATACAATCCTCATTCAACTTATATTTCTCTCATATTGTGTTTATGGCCATGGTGGGGGGGAAGGTTGAGAATGACTGGTTTAAGGAATTGGAATTGAGGGCCCATTCGTACACGTGCTCAGGAATGCAACCAGCACCCTGCAATTTGCGGTCAAGACTTATGCAACTGCCTTCCCAAGCATAAATGGGCAAGAAGATTCTGGCCCTAAGGATCAATGTTCAAGGGAGTGAAGTAATTAAGAATGAATTATGATGCCTGGCTCTCTTTGTGATTCAGCATCAAGCAAGCCTCCCATCTTTCCAGAGAGATAAAGAAAGCTTAATATTAAAAAAAAGGCTGATCCAAGAAGCAAAGGAATTCATTAAAGCTCCATCCCTTCTTTATTGATACTCAGTTACCTGTTTAAATCCACTCCTCCTTCATAGGTTAATGGATGAAATACTAAAAAGGAATAAGGGGAAAAAATGACAAGTTGAAAATTTATAGAAAGTATTGATACAGAGATTTTACTCACATATTAAAAGGAGCACATGACTAACTCACAGTGGCTTAGTAAAATCGTGCAAGTTTATTTAGTCCTTCCTCTTTCCTAGATAAAAATGGGAAACATTACAGAAGTAGTTTCCTTATTTAAAGTAAGATTAGCGGACACTGTCAAAATATACCTTGCTTGTTGAATCTGTTCCTTGCCCTTCTGACAAAAAACAGGACTCATGATACTAATCTAACTAGTTAAGCATATTAAATCATGTATTAATATTATAAAGTCTCACTATTCAAGAATATTACTGAAGTCACTGAAATCACTAAAGGACTGCAAACTTACATAACCACAATTATAATCCCTATGAATACAATTAAACCTACATATATGGTTGTGCTATTAAAAGTTCTTAAATTAAGCTTGCTGTGAATTTCGTTGTATGGTATACTGTGTATATACTTACGATGACAATAAATTATTATTATTATT